CCAAGGCACTGCTCTATCAGCAGATGGATTGGGGACTGTGGAAGAAGGGATTACCCCTTAAGTTCCGCAGTGAGTATAGCAAGCATGCTTTACTGCATATACAGACTGATTTTACTGTTGTGGGTTTAGTAACACTGTATGAACAAACCTACAGACCCTATTCTGTTCGTAACCCCAGGACTGACTGTAACTGAGGTCACATCACGACAATTAACTTGATTCGAATGAGCTGAAAATTTCTTCTCAATAATTAGATTATGTATCAATATAAAAGTAACAAGAAGAAAGAGGAGGCAAACTATTAAGAAGATTTTATGAAAATTTCCAGCTAGCTGGAAAATGTATGTCAGTGAAGTTTAACCAGCATTCATAATTGAAATTGTACAGAAAAAAGAGATAATGCCCTGTGTTACATAAACCCAAAGATACATACAGTATGTCTGTTGCATCCTAATCCTAGCAAAGTAGGTAATGTAAACCTATCTTGAGCAATATGGATGCTCTCACTACTGATCTCCTGTAAATACTAGTAGCTTGGCTAAACTAAATTGACAGCTTTCTGCATCAATGACCCAGAACACGTATTCAAATCAGAAAAAGTGTTACTAAACTCAGGACCCTGCATTCACTATATCTGGTCTCCCACAGTACACACAACATGGAAATGCAGTTATTTTAGTAAATATAAACTGCTAAATACCTTTTCTCATCAGCAATTAGAGCAGTCTTATGACTTCCATCAGTGTTTAACAGAGCACTGGTTAAAGCTTGTAGGAGGAGTTTTCTTTCTGCTCTAGGAGGATGCAGAACCCCTGACCTCTGTCTGGACAGTGCTGATTGGCTTTGTGCTCTCCCAAGAAACAAAAAAAACCTCTCTAGCAATACACACCAAACTGAGCATGTGCAGAGTGTCTCCACACCGATATGTCTTATCAGGGGATGAGGGGGGTGAAAGGGGAGGAACAGAGAAGTCAGGATCAAACCGCCTTATTACTCAATGCACAGGATTAACCCCTTAGGTTCCACAGTGAGAATAACCAGCATGTTTTACTGCATATACAAACTGATTTTACTGTTGTGGTTTTTGCAGCACTTTAACCCTCACTTTACCTAGCCCATACGTGTGTGCGTCACTCTCTTAAAAAGCATTGAAGCCAGAAGGTTTGTATGGCATCAGTGGCATCCTATGATGTTTAGTAGTGTCAGGTCTCCAAATGTTTTTCCAAAAAGCAGCTTATTTTTCTTACTTTGTTCTCCATCAACACAGCACAGTTTAGAACTGGAGTTGAGAAACAAATGAATGCTGACATTGCTGACCCATGCTTATGAAAATGTTAGATACCTGGCTGCTCTAAAGGCTTCAATGCTTATCCAGTCACCAAAAACAGCTGAGCATAGCTACTCCTGGTACACACCATTGCTCCTTCTAGCCCAGGGGTGGGCAAACTTTTTGACTTGAGGGCCGCAATGGGTTCATATATTGGACCCGGGGGCCGGACCAAGAGTAGATGAATGATGTGTATGTGTCATCCATAGTAAGTATAGTAATATTCCCCCATAGTAAGCATAGTAATTCATCCCCCATATAGTAATTCATCCCCATAGTAATTCATCCCCCATATAGTAATTCATCCCCCATATAGTAATTCATCCCCCATATAGTAATTCATCCCCCATATAGTAATTCATCCCCCCCTATAGTAATTCATTCCCCATATTAATTCATCCCCCATATTAAGTCATCCCTCATATAGTATTTCATCCCCATAATACTATTCCCCCCCAATAGTAAGCCAAGTCCCCCCTGTGTCAATTTACGTACCTTTGCTCCGCGCGTTCCTCTCGCCGTGTTCCCGCGCCGTTCCGGTCTTCAGGGCGGACTGTGAGAGGAGCCTAGCTCCCCTCACGTTCGTCACGCACCCCGCCTACACACATCCTGACAGCCAATGTATCACACTCCGCGGGCCGGATTAAAAGGTCCGCAGGGCCGTAGTTTGCCCATTGCTGTTCTAGCTTCAGCTTGTTCAATTAAGCTTTTGCAATAAAACCTGGAAGCTGATTGGTTTCTATGCAGAAGTGAGTCTGATTTTGCACTCTCCAACTTTAGTAAATCTCCCCCACTGTGTCCACAAACTATGCTTGATATTACCCACATATTTAACTGAACATGCAGGGCCCCATCTGTACTGGCACCATGCAAAAGAAGGCTTGGTGCAATTGTTATTCATGCGGGAGTTAGGTTTCCTCGCCCTGAGTAATGTGGAAATAACCAAATTAGAGATGCCCCTATCCTTTAAGACTTCAACAGCCATGCCATTAATATATCTTTCTGGAAGTGACTTTTCTTGCTATTCGTAATGTAGGAATCACAGACTCAGAAACCCCTCTATCATTTAACACTGGGGTTTCAACAGACTGAAAAGCAGGATGGAATAGGGGGCCTTAGGTTAGTAGGTCTTGTCAGTTTGGTAGAAGTCAAGCCTTGTTTGCCCATTGCTGTTCTAGCCCTTCCTGCTGGGCACAGGAACTCCATGTATGCTCCTTTTGTCCGTCGCAGCCAGGCATATCTGAGCATCTCTCTTCAGTGCTCCTGCCAGCACCTCTATATACTCACTAGTCACGTGTCCATTTCCCCCAGTGGTCTTATCACATTCTTTTTGCTACATCTATTAATATTTGAGGAAAATCTTGGAGTTCACATCCCCTTGAGGGGGTAAACACCACCTGTTCTTTAGATTCCATTCCTGCAGTTTGCTTTATTTCGTTAGAACACTCAGGATTGAAGTCAGGGACAGCCAGCCTTTTAGCATTTACAGCTGGTCAGGGACATTCTATATACACTCACCGGCCACTTTCTTAGGTACACCTGTTCAATTGCTTGGTAACACAAATAATCAGCCAATCACATGGCAGCAACACAATGCATTTAGGCATCTAGATGTGGTGAAGATGACTTGCTGAAGTTCAAACCGAGGATGAAAATGAGGAAGAAAGGGGATTTAAGTGACTCTGAACATGGCATGGCTGTTGCTGCTAGATGGGTTGGTCTGAGTATTTTAAAAACTGCTGATTGACTGGGATTTACATGCACAACCCTCTCTAGGGTTTTCAGAGAATGGTCCGAAAAAGAGAAAATATCCAGAGAGCAGCAGGGGTTTGGACAAAAATGCCTTGTTGATGTCAGAGGAGAATGGGCATACTGGTTCAAGATGATTGAAAGGCAACAGTAATTGAATTAACCACTCGTTACAACCAAGGCGTGCAGAATATCATCTCTGAATGCACAACACATCGAACCTTGAAGCAGATGGACTGCAGCAGTAGAAGTCCACACCGGGTGTACACTTGTACAGGCTTACAAAAATTGGACAATAGAAGATTGGAAAAATGTTTCCTGGTCTGATGAGTCTCGATTTCATCTGCGACATTCAGGTGGTAGGGTCAGAATTTGGCATAAACATCATGAAAGCATGGATCCATCCTGCCCTGTATCAACAGTTCAGGGTGGTGGTGGTGTAATGATGTGGGGGATATTTTCTTGGCACACTTTGGGCCCCTTAGTACTAATTGAGCATTATTTAAACGCCATGGCCTACCTGAGTATTGTTGCTGATCATGTCTATCCCTTTATGACTACAGTGTACCCATTTTCTGATGGTTACTTCCAGCAGGATAATGCATCATGTCACAAAGCTCTAGTCATCTCAAACTGGTTTATTGAACATGACAATGAGTTCACTGTACTCCAATGTCCTCCACAGTCACCAGATCTCAATCTAATAGAGCACCTCTGGGATGTGGTGGAACAGGAGATTCGCATCATGGATGCGCAGCCAACAAATCTGTAGCAACCGCGTGATGTTATTATGTCAATATGGACCAAAATCTCTGAGGAATGTTTCCAACACCTTGTTGAATCTATGCCACGCAGAATTAGGGCAGTTCTGAAGCAAAGGGAAGGCGTCCCAATACTTTTGGCAATATAGTGTATGAGTACTCCTGGTGTGAACGGGGCTAATGTGTATAGTGGGTTGGGGTGGAACACAAATGTGGTTTCTTGCAACCCTGTATGTATAATAGGAGCCCAACTGTGTGTGCTGGCCATGTGGAAATAACCTGGGGTACCAATTTATAAGCTGGTGTGAGCAAAAATGACTTTAATGCTGCACATGCATAATATATAGGAAACCAATACAGAGGGAAATACACTCACGGGCCACTTTATTAGGTACACCTTGCTAGTACCAGATTGGACCCCCTTTCTCATCCTCCTGGTCACTATACACATTAGCCCCGTTCACACCAGGAGTACTCATACACTATATTGCCAAAAGTATTGGGACGCCTTCCTTTACATGCACATGAACTTTAATGGCATCCCAGTCTTAGTCCAGAGGGTTAAATATTGAGTTGGCCCACCCTTTGCAGCTATAACAGCTTCAACTCTTCTGGGAAGGCTGTCCACTAGGTTTAGGAGTGTGTCTATGGGAATGTTTGACCATTCTGCCAGAAGCGCATTTGTGAGGTCAGGCACTGATGTTGGAGGAGAAGACCTGGCTCGCAGCCTCCGCTCTAATTCATCCCAAAGGTGTTCTATCGAGTTGAGGTCAGGACTCTGTGCAGGCCAATAAAGTTCCTCCACCCCAAACTCGCTCTTCCATGTCTTTATGGACCTTGCTTTGTGCACTGGTGCGCAGTCATGTTGGAACAGGAAGGGGCCATCCCCAAACTGTTCCCACAAAGTTTGGAGCATGAAATTGTTCAAAATGTCTTGGTATAATGACGCCTTAAGAGTTCCCTTCACTGGAACCAAGGGGCCAGACCCATCCCCGAAAAACAACCCCACACCATAATCTCGCCTCCACCAAACTTTACACTTGGCACAATGCAGTCAGGCAAGTAACGTTCTCCTGGCAACCGCCAAACCCAGACATGTCCATCAGATTGCCAGACAGAGAAGCGTAATTTCTCACTCCAGAGAACACGTCTCCACTGCTCTAGAATAGGGCTTGAAATTTCCACTCGCCTGCTCGCCAATGGCGTGTGGAAATTATGGTGGGGCGAGCGTGTCCCCCAGGGCCGTCTTGCTGAGGAGGCTCAGAGCTCAGGCCGGATATGTCATTGGCACTGGGAGCCATCAGATTGCTCAATAGCTGAGCGCAGTGAAAGCAAAGCAAGGGGTGTGTGCTGTGCTCTCTGCCTCCCCCTAGAGTGCAGTACCCGGATCTGTGAGTGAACAACGAATTACTGCAACTTTTTATGGGGGGGGGGTTGTGTGTACGTATACGTGTGTGTGTGTTTGTGTGTGTCTGTGTTTGCATGTACAATTGTACATGTGTCTGCGTGTATGTACATGTATGTGTATGTACATGTGTGTGTTTGTGTGTATGTATGTACACGTGTCTGTGTGTACGTGTGTGTGTGTGTATGTATGTACATGTGTCTGTGCATGTGTATTTCTGTGTATGTACATGTATCTGTGTGTATGCGTGTCTGTACGTGCCTTTGTGTGTATATATGTGTCTGTGTGTGTGTGTGTGTACATGTTTCTGTGTATGTATGTGTATGTACATGTCTGTGTGTGTGTACAGGTGACTCTGTGTGTGTTTGTTGGTGGCAAATAACTCTAAGGCCTGGCTAGTAGCTCAGGACTTGAAATTTTAAGCCCTTAGAGTCCAGTGGCTGCGTGCTTTACACCACTGCATCCGACGCTTTGCATTGCACTTGGTGATGTAAGGCTTGGATGCAGCTTCTTGGCCATGGAGACCCATTCCATGAAGCTCTCTGCACACTGTTGTGCTAATATGAAGGCCACATTTAGTTTGGAGGGCTTTCGCTATTGACACCGCAGACAGTTGGCAAACTCTGCGCATTGTGTGCTTCAGCATGCACTGACCCTGCTCTGTCATTTTACGTGGCCTACCACTTTGTGGCTGAGTTGCTGTTCCCGGTTGCTTCCACTTTGTTATAATACCACTAACAGTTGAGCGTTGAATATTTAGTAGCAAGGAAATTTCATGGATGGACTTATTGCACAGGTGGCAACCTATCACGGTGCCACACTTGAATTCACTGAACTCCTGAGAATGACCCATTCTTTCACAGATGTTTGTAGAAGCAGTCTGCATGCCTAGGTGCTTGATTTTATACACCTGTGGCCATGGAGGTGATTGGAACAATGAATCCAATGATTTGGAGGGGTGTCCCAATACTTTTGGCAATATAGTGTATATAGGCCTACGTTTTACTGCTGGTTTAGGTGGAACACATTGAGGCCTAGGTCAAATGACACATGGTGCATGAGGTGGTTTTCTCATTATCAGGCAGGGGTCTCTTATACCTCTATCACCACCCACTGAAAAGCAGACGAGATTAAAGCCCCAGTAAAGCACCCAACTCTTCACCCCAGGCTTTGGCTGTACTTTACTTCCAGGGGAGTATCACACAGAGGCTTTTAGTTGGAAATGTAATGTCTTTACTTTTCAGGCATATAACAGTCCATTAGCATGGTAACAACTTCCAGGTAATGGCAAGGCAAAACATGTCAGTCACATCACTGTATTTTGCACAACAGTGGAACAGTGATGGGGTACTCACAACCTGACTTATGGTTTACACCGGTTTACACCATAGAAAAGCAGTGTGGATGCATTTCTGCATGCATGTTTTTGATGTGTTCTAGTGCGTTTTTGATGCGTTCCAGTGCACTTTTCACCTTTTTTTCTACACATTATATAAGGATGCATTTTACCATGTTCCAGTACAGTTCAGTGCAGAAAAAATGCACCATTTTCTACTTTTTTTTTTCTGGAGCTGGAACGCACTGGAACTGACCACACTTGTGTGGACGATGTTATTGGAAACCATATAACCTATTTTCCATGCGTTTTTGATGCAGAAATAAAATGCACTAGACTGCATGTGGTGTGAACCGGCACACCAAGTGGTCCTCGACTGTACTCTTTTTATTTATTTTTTTTCTCCTGTGGCACCAAGCAGTCTCTCCTAGGAAGCCCCGAATCAGAGGTTCCTACCACCTTTTAAAGGGACACCCCATGTCACCACTCCATCACTAGGAGGAGCAACTCTTAAAGGGGAATCTTCCACCTGCCTGCCTTATATGCAACCATAGAGTGCTACCAGCTTTGAGATGCGCTGCCTATGTACGGCAGGCCATAAGCAACAAAAGAGGGAGAAATTGAGGCAGCTAATGGTACTTTGTGATTATTGGGAAAGCAGGTATCCATCCTACCATTATCAGTTGGGAAACTACCAGCATACAGTCAACATTCAATATTTTGCTGCCATGGAATGGGATACCAGGCACAAAAAAAAATTTCGGGAAAACCGTTTTGCTTTGCCTGTTTGCATTTTGTAATACAAAATGCACAGACACATAGCAAATATTATTTGTACACATTGACGATGTTCTAATTATAAAGACCGGTGCATTCACTTGGCATTGCAGATCAATAACTATTGAGCACAGGATCTGACAGTCATGGCTGAAAGTTGTTTGCTCAGCAAAACCAACCACAACAAGCTGTCAATCAGTAGTAAACAGACATCCACATAATGCATTTCACTGGCACATACAATTTAAAAAGAGAAAGTGGAAACTTCTTGTGTAGTCAGCTGGAGCAGCTTTGCCTTGGGCTGGACATTTCTTGAAGCTAGACAACATTTTTGTGATATTAAACATTGGTGATGTCTGCATGTGCCAACAGCATTATTGCTCAGCTTGGTTATTCTAAATCGTCCCTCCCCCTTCCACAGTGCTGAGGTGGAATTTTATTTTCTGGAACACTAAAGTTTCTGCATTACATAGGAGTGACTTACTGTAACATGCATAGCAGATCAAGAGATCAAGAGATATGGCTAATTTTTCAAATGTGTCATCTATGTAACTCAATAAATGTAACCGCACAATAATGAAATGATATGGGAGCTCTTTTTCCTATTATTTGATATGATTGTTTCTTTTATCTGTTTCTTTTATTGTATCCTCTGTTACCCATCTTTGTAGAACCAAAAAAAGATGGTGTTCAATTAGCATTAGTAACAATAAAAATATTGATCACAATAATATCTATAATATAAAGAGACACGCACTCCCTGTTTCATGTTACACTTAGTCACAATACACAGACAGGCCGCAGAATTAGTTGCAGCACATAAATTTAGAAAACAGACATGGCATACAATTAAAGCACACATGACACATACAATCAGTACGTGCAAATACTCTGCAAAGCCAATAATTCATGTTGTGGTGGTAAGTGTTGCCAGAAGACCGTGGCAACAGCAATATGCTGGAATTGCTGTTTTGGCCATTACTGTAGAATTGACATTTTTATAATGTGTTTCCAGAGCCTTTTAAGGACAGCTCAATTAGTAACCACACAGTATAGAATGCATTGCATAAATATTCGCCCCTTGGACCTGACCTATCCACATTTTGTAGTGTTATGACCTAGAACCAAATAATTTAACTTGGATTTCTTATTTACACACACAACAGTCCATAAAGACAGAGTGTAAAAAAAAAAAATCTAAATTAAAAACTCAGTTCTTTATGTATTCATCTCCTTAGCTGTGAATTTTTTAAATAGGTTACTGATACCCTTCACAAGTAGCAAGATTACCTAAATGTAGATCACCTGTGAATGCAATGAAAGTGTCACATCATTGCAAATTAAACACACCTGGTTTTTGACAGCCTAGAGTTTATTGGATACTCAATTCACACAGCTAGCGCATTTGGATTGTGATCCCATATTTAAAAATAATTGAGTTATTTTCAGTTGAATCCACTGATATTTAAGAAATTACTATTAGATGGCAGAAAATAGATCCTTTTCTTTAAGCTGTATGAATCAAGCTTAATCCAAGCAAACATTATCCTGAAATCTACAGCGACCTAAAGACTTTGCCCAGGAATAGAAATGCCCATGAGGGTTGGGTTATTAAAAAAATAAAATAAAAAATGAACATCCCTCAGAGAAACTCTAAATCTAAATATGAGTAAATAATGAAAACAATATGTCATTATTGTACGATGAGATGGGAGAAGTCATTCATGGGACAATTATAATCTGCGTGATTCATAACACTGGACCTTATGGAAGAGTAATGGGAATTAGGCCATCGCTTAAAAAAAAAAAAAAAAAAAAAAAAAAAGTTAGTAGCTACAACAAATATAGTAATGTATGTTAAAGTATAAAAAATACCTTGTGCGCTCTGCAGTCTTAGGTCAAACAATGTTATCAGGAAATGTCTTAGGACTACATACTTTCTGTCCTAGGATGACAATGCTGCTGCTGCTCAACATACACTGCGCAGTGAATGAGCGTTCTTACTCTCAGGACAGGAAGTGTCTTTAAATCAAAAACCTGAATGTGTTACAATTGCTCAATCATATCCCAATTTAATTAAAAATTTGTGTCAAATCTTGAAATTGCTGTTTACCAACAATTCCAATTTAACCTGAGCGAACTAGAGAAATCTAGATAAGAAAGGAGTAAATTATTTCAGGATCTGGACATAGAAAGCTGGAAACCAACTGCCAAAAACTTGTGTGGCGGTTCCATTTTCTGTGAGCACAGGGTGCCAAGGTTCCACCCCCTACCCTGGGCTAACAGGAGAATGCTGCAGGGATCAGTGTCATGTCAATAAATGATACCACTCTATGCACCATTTAGGATCTGCTCATTACCAAGAAAGATATGCAACAGAAAGTAAGTAGAAATTATCACAAAATGAGAGGCAATGCCAGTTCTGATGACTTTAACTGGAACAGGTGTCCTCACTGGATAAAACTCCTTCATAGGTTTTGATGACATCATTAATATTTTGGATTGTAACAGTCACCATTCCAAGTAACAGTATGAGTGTGACTGCCCATAAAGGTTACACAGAGGTTATATCTAACTCTTTTCTACACTAACCAAAACCAGTTCTACTTTTAATTAGGAAGATAGTGAAGGAACATAGAACTTTAGAAGACGTTTTAGTCTACCTCTTCTTACTCTTCTCTGAATGAAGAAGGAATCCGCATCGTCACCTCTGTTCAGTGAGCAGGAAGCATACCCAGGAGGCAATAATAAAGCAAACAATAGAGTCCGCTTACTGACTTTCAGATATGTGTTTATTACAAGAATTTTTTGGTCAACATTCGAAAACCTTTGGAAACTGTAAACATAGACCTATTTCAATCTTTTATCCATCTATTTGCCTAGAGCAGTATTTCTCAACCTTTTTCAGTCAAGGCACCCTTTAAAATTATGGATAATCTCAAGGCACCCTTTAAAATTCTGCACAATTTCAAGACACCCCATTCTAAAATGTAATCAGCTATTCTACACCCATCCAGTACACCCAACATTAGAGGTGATTTATTCTTCCAAAGCGAATACACCTTTGCATACTGGTACCGACTAGTATTCCAGAGTGTCTCTTTGTTTCTCTCCATAAGTCTGCTAGTGTGACCCCAGTGCTGACTGAGAGGGGCAAACAAGGATGATGTCCATACACTCCATGTCCTCCTTATCAACTGATGATGTCATTTGTTGTT